TTATTTTGACGTGTCAAACAGTATCGACCACAATTATGTAAGTGCTTGATCAAGCATTAAAAAGATAAGACGTACACTTATTAACACTCGTTTTGAATTTTGTCTCCTACAGGAAACTAACCATGCACATAGCTGGCTCAGTTTCTTTCTGGCGAAGAATTACGAAGGCTACGAAGGTTAGAATCTCTATTTCTTAAAGTTTATAGTGATGAATAGTGTTGCATGAATGATGATCGCGTGTCGAGTTGCACAAAATCAAGAGTCCAAACGGCGATACTGTTTTTGTGTCGCCGATGATAAAATTATCGCTGCTGTTAAACACCGGGTAAAGTGGAAAGGAAGAGTGGACATTGCGATCGCTTGAGAAAAATGTAGTAAAAAAACTCTGTGGTAAATGAGCATTTTATAAAAAAGATATTCAACTATATTTCGTAACATGTATATACATTCAGATTTACATTGTTTTAGTAAGTATATACATATCATATGCACAATTGGTTTACGTATTAAATATTACATCTAGACTAGATTTCAACTAAGTTTAATGCGAGTCCTCTGGTAGTTTTTCGTCTTTTTGCATCTCCTGCGATGTTATTAACGCAACTTTTTCAGTACCCTCAGTAGCGTTTGTCAAATTCTTATCGTCGTTTATGGAGGTAAAAGTTATGTGGTCCATCACGTTTCCTAAACGTTGTTCTTCCGTTGCATCTGTGTTCATCAAACGACCGTCTGTAAAATACTCGATTAATCGTTGCAACCAGGACAAAATCGTTAGTGAAATTACCGTGGAAGATAGAAGATACTTTGCCCTCCTCGTCGATAAAGTAAAAATGTTCCTCGTTCGCAAAAGCTTTAATACTGTTTAAAGTCTTCAAAGATACATTCATGAACCATAACCTTTTCTCTTCCGCATTCATATTCGCTGCTATCAAGTCGATCCCCTGTAGTTCAAGATCTATGAGAATCTCAAAAACTACATTTATCAAGTTTATTATACCTTCATTGCAGTGTAATCAATGTTTCGTATCCTTTCGCAGTCAACAATGAAAGGAACGTTGCTTTCATCGTTCTTACGGATTATCTTCATCAATTGATTGCAAAAGTAATTAGCAGCAGGATAAAGGAGGCTGCTATCCGGCTTCAATATTACATACTTATGTCCCAATTGTGTCTGAAATCAAATGACGTTCGCAACAAACGAGAATCGTTAAGGAGGACAGTTTTACCTTGTAATGCATCACTTCTATCTTCGGCCTAGCAGGCGGTCGAAGGAAGTAAATTAAGCTGAGTGCAGCTCCGGTTAAAAGTCCTATTTCGACGCCGAAAGTAATGCAAACGGAAAACGTAACTATCGCCGCCATAGCATCCTTTTCTATAACACAGAGTGTTATTTATATCGTCAGAGGAAGACATGTTTCGGCGTTTATCAAATATTGTCTGACACTCACTGCTTCCTTTCCAAAGAAGTCTTAAGATTTTTAAGTCAATTAGGAACACCACCGCGCTTATCAGTACCGCTGCGAGAGTCGTGCGTGGAATGTAATAAAAGTAAGGTGTCAAGAAGCTCAGTGCCAATAAAGTCATTGTCCCTGCAATTGTTAATCGATATTATTAAAGATTCTAGAATATAAAATGCTTCCTTTGAAATTCTGTATCGTTTAATTGATGTAGAGCAATAAACTCATTTCTCAGTCGATTTTAACGACGACGGAAGATAAGCGTTTGCATTTCTGACTTTTGTTCACGAGATAAGAAGTTTAATTCTTAAAATACGACGAGGCCCATTCAGTTGACACGTTCTTACTCTCTGTTTACTACGATGCAGATTACAGATAAAATGTTTGTGTATCTTGCTTTACTTTTCGATTAATTCTGAGGAAGTTTGAGAATAGTCAAAATTAAGATAAGGTCCTAAATTTATACATTTGTCTGAAATTTATATTTCAATCTGATACTTCTCATTGTCTTCTCTGACATGTCATGAATCAATCGTCGAAGCTTGAACGGTTCGATGAATGGGCATCATCCTGTTTTTTATTTAAATTATTACCGACATAAATGCCAGCCATGGGTGTTCGCACCCCACTGGCGGAAACTACAGCGCTTCTGGTGAACGCACCCGCGGTTGGCATCGAGGAAACGAAGCTTCCGAATATATTGCACAGTCCAAGCGTTAACAATTCCTGCGTCGCGTTCACGCTGCTGCCGCAAGCTAAAAGTATAGGCACAATTGTGTTCGCGTAGACGAAATTAGATGTAGGTGACATCAGGCGTAAAAGGAAAAATAAGCTGCAGACCCGCATTCGGGACACCGACCCTCTCTTCAAACTCAACATTTAGGATATTTGACAAACGAAATAGAATTTTATTTATAGATCTAAGGAGAAGATTTGAAAATTGTAATCATGCCTGGGACTTTCCGTTAATTGTAGGGATCAAATGATTAAATATGTGATGTTTTAATCTATCATAATCAATCATTTATATTTGTGATTACTTACAGGCTTCTAAATTTTTAATTACAAAAGCCTTCGCATATACACTTTCTATGAGAAGTTGAAGAAGTGTATTTGTAATGTTCCTCGAATGCAGGTCTCCCCTGTTTATATAATTTTTTACCGAACGCTTTGGCAATGGCAATGTTCGCCAGCACAGCTACGACAGGTACCACGATGATCCCGGAACTATAATGAGAGCACATATCCCAAAACGTGTAAGTCTGATTTCCCACTTGAGACGAAAACGGGGGTGGAGAAAATCGTGGAAGTCCCGACTGTACCTTTCCTTCAATTGCCAAAAGAGAGGATAATTAATACATCGTCGTAGAGAATGAATAAATTAACAGAGAGAAATGAAACCTGAAAGAATAAACGGTGAGGATCCTGCATTCTCGAGATTGTAAGATATCGTCGCGGCGATCAGAATCACCAGAGCGTTGCGACAAATTGATATGAACCAGAAGAACTTCTTTAAATACATTTTCGTTCGGGCATCGACCCTCGAATAACAACAGTCCATGTCTTTCAATTGCTGCGTTCAAACATTACATTAGACATTGAAAAGTACCCAGGATAGAATTTAAACGATCTCTTGTCTGCGTTAAGGAAACGCAAATTAAGTAGAATTTAATTAAATTCGCTGTAGTCGTTTTATACAGAAACTTACTCTGCATAGTAAAAGAAGAGCTATACTGCTAAGCCCGAGTATAAAATCTGCTGTTCGCACATTTCCAAAGTTTACACATATCTTTGTCACATTGTCAACAATATTATGTGCTTTGAACTTCAATCCCAACAATCCTTGCAACTGCGAAATGATTATGATAATCGAAGTTGCCGAAGTGAAACCTGATGTCACGGGCATCGATATAAAATCTACTAAAAAACCTATAAAACAAATGTCGAGATAATATTGGAATTCGAACTACGAGGATGAGTTATTAATACCTAAACGCAGCACACCCATTAATAATTCTACGCATCCGCCTAGGAAACAGAAGAGCACGACGAAATCCACGGGCATGTTCCTTGTGTATTCAATAGTGAGAAGCGACATTAACGAAGACGGACCGATGGATACTTCTTTAATCGTCCCAAAGATTATATAGAGGAAGTTTCCCATCAAACATGAATAGAGACCGTACTGCAAATAATTCTTTCATACTAACTGCTCGAGTGATTCAAAAGAACAACTTCGGAAAGGATGAACAAGAATCATTGGGTTGAAAAAAAAAGAAATAGAAGATGAATGCAACGTGAGGAATGGGCTCGAATACCTGAGCCGTCAAGCCTGCCAAAGCGGCGTACGCGATACTTTGAGGAATAAGCGTCAATCCCAACGAGAACCCGGCCACGAAATCCGAAATAGCGTCCATGCGTGAATAGTTTGGCAACCAATTTATAATCGTCACGTATTTAGCAACAGTAAAGAAACGACTCCGTCTGTCGTGCTTTTTCTTCCGTCCTTCCAACGGGACAGGCTCGTTCGCGGATGCAGACATTATATTCACAGCAAGATGAAAAACGGGAAACTGTATCGTGTACCAATAGAACTTGACGCGTTACAAACATAAACGCTACTGTATTCTCATATCAGCTTCGACGATTGTTATCTCCCGATCTGGCTTTTATTAAATCTGAAAGTAAATACTTGGCGCCTGAGAAGGAGAATCGAAATCACTTGATACTATGATTATTAGTCTGCTTGTTCAATTGATAAGAGAATATCAGGCAGAGACGAAATCCTACTTAAACAGCGTAGGAATTAACAAGTCCTCAGCTTAGTAGCTTTGTTATTAAAGAAATAGTAGGGCGAAGAGAAACACTTAAAATTTTCAATAA